AATACATCTTTCATTCTAAACTTCAGATTCTTCTTCTGTAATTTTTGTAAAATACTTTTGCAATTGCTTGACAAGTGCAGCTTTACTTTTTTGTGTTGACCTCTCTTAATAAAACAGGAAAGTTGAATGGGATATACACCATTTGAAAGGTTGGGGCTGATTTGGTGCTCAAGAAACATTTATTCTTATTATTAACAGTGTTGAAAACAGTTGTGATGCTTAATGTTCTTTTGTGAAAATCAGTAACTTTTCTGTAATATTATAGATGTCTTTACTGTCACTTTTTGTTAATTTAATGCATCCTTGCTGAATAAAGGCATTCATTTCATTAATTTCTAAAAGTTTTTTTAAAGAGTTTTGAATGATACTGTATCAGTGGGCGTATCCCTTAAAAAACAAAAAAATAATAAACAAGCAGTTGATTTGAAGTTTGTATTGGGGTTTTATATTCTATAGAGCACAACATTTAGAAAATGTAGGAATACACAAAAGCTAACACGTAAGCTAAAAGCTACAAAACTCCAAATTTGATTTCATTGGGTTTGTTAGTTAGCTGATGGTGCTTGTGACTGATGGGCAAATAATCATAATGAATTATTTGCTTACACAGCTGAAAGCAGATGTAGAGCTGCTTGGCATGGGATTCGGCTCCTTTAAACTGTTATACTGGCGAAGGGATTTCAATCAGGTTATCTAAGAAATGGATAGGTTTTCACAGAAAGCATGTACAGGATTGTTAGAGGAGTTTTTATATCCCCAAGATGAATTTTGATCCAGTACCAGTGAAGTGCATGTGAGGTCTGAAATAAAGCTTCACGTTATGACCTAGACACTTTAAAGGGGTCTTTTATGTTTACGCGGCACGATGCAATGCAACGCAACGCGTAAAAACACAGTCATTATAGAAGTCATTATAATCAGTAATTATGTCCCCACTGGATGCAACAAATGCCTAGTTTGTAATGAGTTTTAATTTTAATGTCTCGTAGCTCTGGCCGGACACGGCATCAACAGTATGTGAGGGGCGGAACATTTCCGTCTCACGCTTGAGGTATTCGGCCAATCACAACGCATTGGATAGCTGGCCAATCACAGCACACCTCGCTTTTTCAGACCGATGAGCTTTGTAAAAATCGACGCGTTTCAAAAAGGCGGGGCATAGAGGAGAAACAATAATGTACAGTATGTGGAAAATAATGTGTTTTTTGAACTTTAAACCGCATAAACACATTTCATTACACCAAATACACAAAATAATGTTCTTTTTAGCAGCATCATATGACCCCTTTAAGATAAAATAAAAATTATAAGATTTAATAAACTAACTCGCAAGTCTGTGCACATCTGCTTAACATTGTTATTTAGTAAGATTTGGTATTTGTTAGGTCATGATATCATCTCCTTGTTTCAAATAACAAAGTTTAATCACACGCATCAATCCTCTATCTAGAACAGATTTTGAATATGCATTTTTCAATTAAAATGCTAGTATTTAAAAGGGAAAAAAACTTAACTTTGTGTTTAAGTATTCATTAACATTTTTAACATAACATCCAAGGCTCCCTTGGAAGTTTGATCAGAACCACTGATCTATCTAGAACAATACTATGACAACAAGTGAGTCTTTATTATTTAGGGCTTCTGAAGATAAAAGTGATGCATATTGATGACATATTGAGAAAGATTTTATACCAGTGCCAAATGGGATTTATGAATAACAAGCTGACCCTGGGGCTGAAATGTCAGCGATCACACAGAATCACCTTTTGTTACAGATTAGAAAGACAGCAAGACATTTGTAGACATCTGGTTGAATGTTTTCCTGGACCATCTTCAAAACTTGCATTGATCTTAGAGGAATATATGTTGCCTGGAGGCTACATCATGTTAGAATCATTATTTTGCAAGCGCAAATTCATTAATAGTTCAACTGCCTGTTGTCATGAAGCAAACTCAAACACGCAGTGTTTTGGCACAAACAGCATTTCTCTAACCCTGCACCCACTTCCAAACAGATCCAGACCATAAGAATTCAACTCGCAGTGACCTAATTCTGTTTCTATTACATTATTGCAGGAACACATACACCTCAGACAAAGAGTGAACAAATTGATGGACTCTTACTATCAATAATGGAAACAGATCAGCTCGTTTTCCTCAGCACTGTTGTGAAAGCATCAGTACTTTCTTCTCTACTCAGATGCCTAATGCATCCTTACTCTCTCTCTCTCTCTCTCCATTACAGTCTTTCTCTTCCTCTGAATCTCTCTCTTCTCCATCTGCAGTGCAGTGCTGATTTGCACATATGCCACTGATTGGGTCCGAGAGAAAATAAAGCCCCTCTAGATGAGATAATAACCAAAACACACACATACAATCGCACACATGATCTCATGCAGTGCATGCTGGGCCTGGCTTTGTGTTTAGCTCTGTATAATGAAGCAAATGAAGGTAATAGAAAGGAGCAGCCTACCTCTGACTACGTCTTCCTCTCTTTTTTTCTGTGTCTCTGGATCTGTCGTTCCCAGACGGTTGCCTTACTGATCGTTTCACTGTGACTCTTCCTCCGGCTGCCGCCCCTGCCGTCTGTCACTTCTCTTTCTGTCTCTCTGTGGTTCTCTCTCTTCCACACACACACAAACCCCCTCCCCTTTCCATCCTCCCTCCCCTCCTACCTCCTCCCCTTCTCTCCTCCGTTCATCCAGTAT